CAACCTTCGGCCGCCGCTGGAGAGAAATGAGGAGTTGCGCAGCCCCACTCTGGCCGGACCCAGGCCCCAGTCTAGCTCGGCCCGTCCCGTAGACCTGAAGGAGCCGTTTTGGCCGCCCTGTCTCTCCCCGGCGTCCCTCCCCCTCACAGGGCCAGCGCCCTGGCCCTGAATCTTCCCGTTAGCCTCATTCGTAACACACCCAGCTAAGCTCTGATGTAAACTCTGCCAGCATATTGTGCGGAACACAGCCCAGCTCAACGTGGTCATGACCCACACCTTACCCTCCCAGCCCAGCCATCCTAGCCCCACTGTGTGCAGTGCAACCTCATCAGCTCAGCCTCCGCAGCCCGGCTGCCTCCCACGTGCTGCTTTGCCTTGGCCCTCTTGTCCTGCCAAGTTCCTCAGCTGCATTGCCCTTCACAGTAGCAAAGCCTGGCCTTGCTGGATGCAGCCATGTCCTTCCATCTGAACAGCTCTGCTGACCAAACCGCGGTAACTCAACTGTCAGCCTGAAGTTAAAGCAGGGTGCCCCAAAACAATAGCAACATCCAGCAGTGCTGCCACAGGAGAATCATGCCCTGAAAGCTTCCTTCCCCTCAGTACTACTGTTGGCTTTGCCTATTTCTTGTTCAAGGGTCAGAGCACGACAATGCCAGCCACCACGTGTCCATTTCAATTAGTCCCATGAATTTCACTGCCAGGACATAAATTTACTACCTAAGCACAAATTAAGTAATTTGGAAGACCAATAGCCCCTGTTAGGAAAAGCATCACCAGCAGGTAAGGGAGTAAATCATTCTCATCCTCCCAGCAGTGGATTCAGTTTCAGCTTCCCCAATACAAGGAAGACATGGACATAATGGAACAAGTACAATGAAATTGATTAAGGGCTTGGAGCATCTGACGCATGAGGAGAGCATGAGAGAACATGCCAAGAAGCAGTGGGCAATGGACTGAAAAACAAAAGTCTCACTTCAACAAAATAAGAAATATTTGTATTCTGAAGGTGATTAACACTAGATCAAGTTATCTGGAGAAGTTGTGGAGTCTCTGCCCTTGGAGATAGTTCAAGCCTAATTAGGCATGGTCCTTGACAAACCCGCTTGAATTCGCCTGGCATTGAGGAAACAAGGTTGGACTAGAGACTTACAGAGATCACTTCCAAATTCAGTGAATTTGAAGCCCATCAGAAAGTATGTTTATTTGCAACATGCACTAGGACAAGAAGACACAGTCTTAAGCTGTGCCAGGACAGGTATAGGTTGGACATTAGGAAGAATTTCTTCACAGGAGGACTGATTAGATATTGGAATGGGTTGCCCAGGAGCGTGGTGGAGACATCATCCCTGCAAGTGTTTGGATGTCGCACCCAGTGCTTTGGTCTAGTTGACAAGGTTGGTGCTCAGTCATTGGTTGGACTCAACAGTCTTAGAGAACCTAACTGATTAAAGGAAGACATAATTGAATGATTACAGAAATAACTACATTGGGGAATGCCAAACATAAATTACAAAACAAAAGGTCTTATAATGCAGTTAAGATTCTAATTGTTAACATTTGCATTACTTCACATGTGGCCACTTGGAAGTTACACAATGAGAAGACGTTTAGAATAATGTTTATATGAAGACTGTGGAGTCCAGAACTCATTTTGTTCCACCTAAAAATCTCATAACATTTTTTGCACAGTGCCATAACCCTCCATCAAAAACATCTCATTCTGAAAAGAAAAATAAAACACAATTATTGCTTATCATCAAAGAACCTGTTTGAACCTCTTCAAGGTTGTATTCAAGGGTATCTATAACAGCTTCCCTGATTTAAGATTTCTGGTGTTTGTTATTGACTCTGCAAAATGTTTTTGTTAGGAGTCATGTATCTATGTGTCTAATTTATTGTCTTTCCTGTTTCTTGTCTTTCTTTTCCCTTAATGTTGAATGAGCACTAGTCAGATGGTCTTGCAAATATTACAGAGATACCTATTTTTCTCTCGTTTCAAAATTTGAGCAATTGATTCTGGAAAAAAAAATTCTTTTAAGTTTTTTGCCTTAATGACTAATCACAAGGCTTCCTAGAGAAAATGAACACCAAAATCCTTTAAACAAACTACTATTATTTGTTCTTTTGCATGGGTTTCCAGACCAACTGTATACTGTGATATTTATGTCAAGGATGCATAACAAATGTCTAGCCAAACTCTCAGTCTTTATTATGACACTAGAAATTTTGTCCATAGAAAGAGGATAGTTTTATTATACTCATACATGATAAACAATAATGTCAGGGCTCCCGAGTTGTGAATAAAGCTCTATAGCTATAGATACTCTATAGCTATAGACAGTACATGCCCATATTCTCAGACCTTATTGTGGCAAGCTGAACCAAATACACATTACATGACCCTTAACACTAAACACTAATTTCTTCTAAATGAAAAAGTAAAAATGCACATAGAGAAAAACACGGTGAAAAACAGGGGGGGGGAAATGAAAAAGAGGCTGCTAAAATCCACTTTATTAAATAACATTATAGTTTTCAAGATAGACAGTTTTTAAAAGACTACCCGTATTATGAAAGGAAGTGAAGGAAAGCAATATATAATAAATGAAGAAAGGTAAAAATGGGATTGATAAAACACTGACAGATAACACGAGAAACCGATAAAGAAACCTACTGAGGCATACCGAACCCAAGTCTACCTAGAAACCTGCGCATTTGCGGTTGTCCTGGATGGGACCTCCCGAACGGACTCTTGCCATCACAGCCACCCACGTTCCTGCACCGTCCTCCTCCTGCCGCGAGCCAAGGCCAACGCGCCTCTCGAGCGGTCGGGACGTGAGCGGGGGCCACTCCCGCGGCCTCTTCCGGAGTGCTCGCCTTCGCGCGGCCCGGGCCGCCGGCCGTGCCCCTCCTCCTCGCCCGTCTCCTCTGCGCCCCCCGCGTTCCTCCGTGCGGAC